CATACCTTCCTTACTATTACATTTAGCACAAACTTTCTTTGACTCGAATATAGTTTATTTAGCCTCATACTTGGGAACTTAACGTGGAATAATAGTAATCCTCATAGCTTACTCAGTAAAAGTAAGGAGCTTCAGAGTGTCCCCTGACCACCACTATATTTATTGAGCACTAGATCCCTTTCCCAGGGTCTGTAGGTGGCAGAAGTGTGAAGCTGACCACCAACATCCATATAGTACCAAAGTTAGGAACGTATGAGGCTTTCCTTCCACATTCCAGTACATTTTCTTGGCATGGTGCTTAAGATGCATGAAAAAAATCTACGTGTACCTTTCACTGAAATCATTTGATAAGTAAGATTTGAGGTTTTCACAGCGGTGAGTATGAAGATTTCTGTCTTCTGGGTTGTTGCGCTGTGTAGTCTGGTCGATGTTGACCAACATTTCAGAGGTCATACTGCCTCCGTCATCAGGGCGATGAATGTTGGTTAGCATCGACCAGACTACACAGCTCAACAACCCAGGAGACAGAAATCTTCATTTGATAAGTAGTTGTTATACTCATCAAAATTAAGTTTTTATACTGATGCATGTGTCTCTCAATAATAATTGAACCACAGTGATTGTTTTAAACAGAAGTTAAAGCTTGCAGTGTTGGAAATTTGTGTCTCTCTGTGTCAGTGGGTTTGCATTTTTTGCATATGGAAAGTTATATGATGACAAAGTGCACTTAGAGACAGATTCAAAATCATCTAAAATTTTCAGGTTGGACACTTAACTAATGAACATAGGTTCTTGGAGTGATATACATTTTCTTTGTGTTTGTAAAGCTGTGAATTATTAGGTCCTACTATTTTGTCATTCCTAATACTGTAATATGATCTGTCAGCTGGTATATCTGTAATCATCTTCAGTGTGTGTTTAAAACATTTTTGTGAGTGAATGAAAAATTTAAGGTTTGTTGAAACCTACTGTTATTTTAACATGAAGACAAGACAAATGACTTCCCCAAAACCTTTGTCAGGAGACAACAGTTTAGGATTGTCCCTGGTGTTCTAGAGTTTCCCCCCACCCATTTGAGTTAACTCTCTATGTAACATTAATATTTCTGGATTGAAAAGTTCAACTCTGATTGTCATAGTTTGTATACTTATTACCAAGATATCAGTGTAACATTAAGATGTGTTCTTATTGTGGAAATTATTTGCAGGTAAATGCCACATGGAACTAATTTCATAAATATGAGTTGCATCTGTGCAGCAACATTTCCAAGACTAATCATTAAAAAGTACATAGTGAGATGTTGGCTTAAAGTGTTGCATATTATATGAACACTGTGATTTGAAAAGGAGCACTAGCTAGCTGGATTAGTGTTTATTTATATGTGATTCACTAATGCATGGATGGAATTATCAAATGAAAATGAAAGTAGAAGAACATGAATTAATAAATTAATCATGAAGACTTAATGAAGCTAGTCTCTCACAGCAGTTCTGGTCTGTTGGGAATTGTACCTGATATGCTGCTATTTGCAAGTTGGCAGTATTGTAGAGAATTAATGATATGAACTTCTGACTTTAAAGTGTTTGGTGATAAGTATAATTAGTTGCAGAAATTGGATAAAATTTTGTGTGTAAAATTTATTTGTGGTTACGATATATGTGTGATGATATGCAGAGTAGGTTTTAAGTTTTTAATTTACTTGATATTCAAGTGTAAATAGTACAAAGGATAATAAAATGTTTACATTCTTTATAGTATTTGCCTTTTTAGAATTGCATTGTAGAGTTATGCATAGTTACAGATGTATATGTTAACTCTAGTTTCTTATGACAAGGCTTCTTGTAAATTACGTCTCTTTTTCCAAATTAATTATTGAATACTGATTGTTTTATTTCAATTCCTTTCAGTTGCTTACCCACTTTACAGATTATTCAAATCTTTAAATATAATTTTGTGATAAATATATTGCAGTTACTTTTTAATATTTTGATTTAATGCTGTTATGGGATTTTGAAAAACCAAAGAGTGTCTACTTCCAATTTTAATTTTGTACAGATATTAGTATTGTAATTATTATAATTTGTTCCATACAATAGTGATCCTACTTCTGTGCGTATGAAGCCTTTTTGGAGTGAAGTACTTTTGTAGCCAAATTCATTTATTCTCTTCATGAGCCTAAAATCCAGAAGGTACTGTGTTGTTGTTGTTTGTTTGTTTGTTTGTTGGTTGGTTTTATATATATATAGATCTAATTTGCCTTTGGCTAACAGAATTGAACGTATTCGGCTTCTGCCTTCTCTAATTAAGTTCCTTAAAAACATTTTACTATATGTTAACAAGTGGGTACACTTTTATTATATCTTAGTTCCCATACTTGGTAGGATACAATTAATATTGGTTTAGAGAAGTTTGTGATAGTGTAAATTATATGTAATATGACACAATCAGTTATTGTGTAGAAGTCGCATGAGACCAAATCAGGCAATTGCAGTATTTTTTGTCAACATCCTTTTTGACAAAGGCTTCTTAATAGAAAGTGCTATATGTTAAGGTGCATTATTGTGATGTAACATGCATTATTTGGTACTTTTAATTTAATGCACAGCTGTAAATATTCCAAAACTGAAAGGTATAGTACTTGGTTGACTGTTTTGGAGAGAGAAATTTCTAATAAATGATTACTTTTTTATTAAAAATATCAGATTTTGATTTTGAGAATATAAGCAATGCAAGTTAGTTGTGTTAGGTGATAGGTTTACTTGATCAGAGTGTTATTAATTTGTTGTGATTGTAACTGGCGTATGAACATGTTCAGAGTATGTAAATGCCACATCATAGAATATCCAGTGGCCTTTTGTTTACATCTGTTCTACAGGATGTACGATCTAAAATGCAACCCTACAATGATAACAAATTGGTACAAAAATGAAATCAGAAACAGATACACTCCATTGTAATAGACTGTCCTAGCCTCCCTTGTGACATTTTAGTTATGGTGACCCTGGTTGCTAGGCTACTGCTCATGCTAATTGCACAAAAGCTATGTAGCTCTGAACATGGTTTATTCGCAAGCAGGATGGGTTGATTCTCAGACATTACTTCACATCAGTTTTGTTTGCTGCTTTTTATGAAGCATATTACACAGTGTATCCTGACAAGTAAGTACCAAGTCAGACAACCATACATCAGCTGGTAACAAAATTTTGGGGCACAGGAAGTGTTTGTGGCAAGTGCTCGTCACAGAACGACAGCTGAAGTTATGGCCATACTAATTTCTTACAGTGCACCATTTTCAGCAGCAGTGTATGGCTGCAAGAATTTAATATTGCCATTGGTTTCATTATTTTGTGTATGAAGGGTTTCATGTATAGTAGTTTGGATTGTGTTTTAAATGGAATATCCTTTACAGTCATTGACTATGAACTCCTACCCTAAAGTGGTCTCCTCATTGTGAGATGTTGGTCCTCTAGCAGCTTTCAGAAAAGTGCACAAAGTTCGTGACGGCATTATATGTATTTGCACTTTACATGGAGCAGTATAATGCAATATAGCTTTGTAAATTTTCCATGGAATATGTAATTGTAAACTTTATTGGTTGAATCTTCATTTTTTGCTTTGATATAAGTCCAAGAGGTGTTGAGTATGCATGTAAGATACAAGTAGTAATGGAGTATTGAATGTTCACTTAATAGTCTAAAAGTATTTATACCATTTTTTGTTTTTCTGTTTATTTTTATATTTAACCTAACATCAAGTATAAATTTTAGTATCAGCAAAGGAGGAGAGAACATTACTGTTGTGATGAATTGAATATATTCATTTTAGGAAGAGAAAAATATTCCTAAGGATAACAGGTTTGCAGGACACTGGTAAGTTTAAAGTTATGCAGAAGGAAGTAGGATGGGGAAACAATGGGTAATTAAAAGGCATTTGTGGATGTAGTTCTGGAGAAAATGAATGTTTCCTGAACATTGTTAGTTATCAAGTGCATTGCCTCATATACTTCAAGGAACAAGGCAAGCATTCCATGGAAGTACGCATAGAAACGTATATGTGAAAAGTCAAGGGTGCGTGCATTTGATACCCCAAGCATTACAGTAAGGATAAACATCAGGAATATAGCATCCCTGTGTGTACATGTAATGGGAACAAAACTCTCTTTGGTTTTAGTTTGTTGTATACGAACGTAGAGTATTCATCAATAAGATATTATCACTTTCATGTGCAGTGTTGTGTTCATGCCTACCAAGAGTAAAGTTATAGGTTAAATATTGTGCTCTATGTGAAAAATCATTTTCATGCAAGGATATTTTGTAAATTATATTAATTTAGTAGATTGATGAATTCGCACATTTTTCTACCATTTGTTTCCAATACTGTATTAACGTAATGGGGCAGCATTTGCCGACAATAAATTCAGATGCCATCAGGCCTAGCGGCCACGCAGAAATTAATTCATTGATAACTATATGTTAGGTATTTTATTTCCAAAAGCGAAATCTTCGTGGTTATCTAAAATTGCCAGAACCTTGGGAAGTGATCGGGGCTATCATAGGTTGACTTCATTTATTGAGATGTTGCATGTGTATAAAAGTCGACATGGTCAGCCTGGATGACTACGAAACTGTCCATCAGTTAAAATTTACTTCATTATTCATATCTTCAACTCCATTATGAAGATAAATTTTCTAACGTAATGTGTATAATTTTTATATAATATAACCGAATGTAATTACGTGCGAAGAAGATAAATTAAAATGAAGAACTTAAGAGTATTTATTACACACCGATTAGAATATAACGTTTCTATCACGAAGTCGTAGTAAATTATTCTTTCTTCTGTGAAATTCGCGAGGAGGGCCACGTTCTTGTGTATCTCTGATTCAACTATATGTTCTTTGCCAAGGTAGAATACTGGTGGTGGTGTGTAGTCAGCAGTTTATGTAAGTTATTTAATCGCTGAATATCTTTGTCATCTTGTTTTGACATATAGTTCAAATTAAGGCTTTGTTATAATCTAGATTATAAATTGTTGACTTACAAAAGAATTTGCTCATTTAGCTATAGTTATATACTATTATAATGGTTTCCATGTAAGAGTGGTAATGGTGGTCTGCGAGAGAGTGCGTGATTTTTTTTTGTTTGAGGTAAAATACGCTTTTAATTTCAGCATACCCTTGTAGTTGTTTACATAAAAATGATACAAAGTCAGAAGTTCTTATTCCTGTAATTTTGAAAGTCTTGTATAACAAATTATGGTAACCCACCGAAACCCTTGCCAGGAAAAACTGAAAATTCCCACAGTGGATTACACGGCAGGAAGCAGGATAAATCCTTTATCACATCTTGACAGCCTCCGCATCTAACCATTCACAGTATTCCTTTCCAACTATCAAAGTATACACGTGTGTTAGAGTATTAGAATTAATTATGTTTACATGCAATATTGTGGTTTTCTAGGCCGGGTGTCCTGGCATATTACATGTCTTGGCTTGGAAAAATTACTTGCCATAACCTCACTCTCTTATTACAGCTCTTTCGTTTTGATGTTGCAATACTTGACCCATTATTTGGAATGTTACATTCCAAAATTGAACATTACTTTCACAATTGTTAAAAAATTAAATCCTTGGCGTAACAGCTCCAGAGAGCGAAAGCCGACTAGCCTCATGTTCACATGCCTAAGCAGAGGTGAACGATCATCCAACCAGATATAGCAGGACGACCCCCCAGCCATTGCTAGCTTTCCTGACCAGATTACGCTACCCATTGTAGCTCCCAAATTTCCTCACGATGCTGGGTTGGCACTGGTCCCATACACTGGTCGAAAGCTCATGAGAAAATTTCTTCTCCCCCGAGATTCGAACCAGCACGCATTCCGTATCGCCGGTCCGAAGCATGATGCCTCAAACCGCGCGGCTACGGCACGGGACTCTTTTACAATTGTATTGAGTATATTTTTTTTCAGTAATGGTTCAGTGAAGTAAGTAATCAGCTGGACATGCCACAGTGGAATCATAGCAGATGGTGAACTTGGCAGTGTTGTGTAGTTTTACCAGCAACATTTCATAATAGAGATTGTACAGAGACACAAGTGCATACAAAGTAAAATTAGTAGGTTTTTAATTTCCATTCAAATGTTATTTTTCAAACAAAATTAACTGTTTGCTTGTCTTCTTCCACCCTCTAGAAACAGTGTGTGGGGTATTGTGATTGAAAATCAGGAACTTCTGGTTTAGGTAGGCCATTTATTTTGGGAATTCTTGTTAATTTTTATAAGTGTATGTCATTTCCAGTTATGACATTTTAATGGATGGTAAGTTGTCTGAAGTCTTAGGTGTTTCAGGCTTCATTTAATTCCCCTATATGTAACATTTTTATTACATTAAACTAAAGAGCTCTCCCTTTTATATAACTTAACAGTTTTAATGGTAACTAATAGGTGAAGAGTTGGGCTGAATATTATTTCTAGTGAATGACGTTATCTTTGAGTTGTTTATATTAATTTATACTAATTTGTTTGATATTCTAAGATTTTTTAGTAGTTTTGAGTAGTGTGATCATGTTTTCATTAAAGTAGCCAAAGTTTATTTGATATTCTTAGAATTTTAATACTGTCCACAGACCGGGAGAAGCCCTGTGGGGGGAAGTCGTTTCTGGGGTGCTGCAGGGGGGATGTTTACTATCAAGTGGACTAGAGGGCTGCTATTGGTGGGAAGTATGACACGCCAGACTGACAACATCAAGCAGTTAAGAGTAGCGTGTAGTGAGTGCACCTGTACTGTGTTCTGTGGGTGCTGTGATAATATTCTAGATCCGATCACTGTGCTGTTGTGAGGTAATTTTAAAGCTATATACATTAGAACACGTGTTCGTTCAGTGGTTGAGGAACGAATGCTTTTAGGATGGGTCGTCACTCACCACGAAATCTTGCGCATGCGCGTATATCAAATTCCTAGCAGGACTTTTCTCCTGGTCTGTGGACAATATGATTAAAATTAAATAAGCATGTATTGGACAGGAAAGCTGCTTTTTTCAAGCTGGAATATATTTGTCCTTCCCATCAACCTGATCCTTTTAGTTTTCTGTTAACCAGCAAATTTAATAACAAAACTTTCATACAGTTATGAATTTATGTTTCAGAATGGCACCACGGTATGAGTTGGCAGTAGGCCTTCATAAGGGACACAGAACTACCAAGATACGTGTAGGCAAGACCAAGCAGGATAAGAAACATACTATTCGTCCATCTAGATTGAAGGGTGTAGGTTGAAAATGTTGTTTTCTTACATGTAGTTAATGTGGCTTCTTCGTTGTGTGGTTTGGTGTTATAACAAAACATTGTTTAATTTTGGTATGAGCTAATCTTTCAGCGGTTGTTATTGTTCTTGAGATATATCAGTTGTGAGATATTGTGAATTAATATATTGTTACCAGTTTTGAACATTGCCTCACTACTGTTTTTACCAAACTTTATCTCACAAGTTTGTTGATGTTACTGGCATTTTGTTCCCTTAAAATGAAGGCAGTATGATCAAGTATTCATTCATTGCTTCATCCTGTTGCAGATTCAAACAAAACATACAAAATTTGTTCGAGATCTTATCCGTGAAGTGTGTGGCCATGCACCGTATGAGAAGCGTGCTATGGAGTTGCTGAAAGTTTCAAAGGATAAAAGGGCTCTGAAATTTTTGAAGAGAAGGGTTAGTATAAAATTTCTTATAACTAGCTGCTTGGATCTCATACCTTGAGAAACTAATAGTCACTCAGCTATTCAAATTACTCACTCTTTATGGAACTCAATTACCATGTTCAAAAGAGCCTTCTGTTGGTCCCTGGTGAGTCTAATCCACATACATTATATTCTTTAAGGTATGTTTCAGTATTATAATCTACATACAAGTAACCACGTCTGTGCTTTATAATTCTACTTTAATTAATCCAAAGAAATGCTTTGGCTGACTTGGTTATTTCTCTAAAATTAGATATTTTATTTCATTATGTTGCTTTTAACATAAAGTTGAATGTCATTTATTAGTCTTATTTGGACATTGGATAGAAATCTTTTCAATCACCCACTACAACATATGCAATTCACTAACAGTGCATTTATTTCACAATGCTGATGTAAATAGAGTAGCAGCTTGTTTCAGTCAGTATGGCCATCTTCAGGCTACACCCAAACCGTAATTATAAACTACCTGACTGATACATAGCATGTTTGTATGTACTGTTACAGGTATATATATCAAAATATGAAGTTGATATACTAAAGATAATTTGAAATTATTGTTAAAATGTTATGTATTATGCCTTAAAACACATTATATTTCCAATTTCCATGCCATTAGTATTAGTGTATAGCATGCTGTTTTACTGTACTAGTCTACAAATGTCGCATCATATGTTCTGATTTTACATATATAAGAAGTAGAAACCTGCTATGGTAAAATTAATGTTGAGGTAATGTGGCTATCCACACTCTTGTACAGGTAGTGACTTACTGGTTTCGTGTTGTGTCTGTGGACATGATTATAGATAAAATTAACTCATTATTTCCATAACAAAGGTTACTTAGGTTAAATTATAATTATTGGGGAACTGAATAAACTTTGACATTGTTTGTATATACACGTGAGTGAGAGCAGGTAGTCGGTGGATGATCCAAAACTGAATATTGGTGAGAAAGTTGTGTTTAAATACCTATGAATTGCTGAAGTAGACGCTATCTATATTAGACTTGTTGAAATTAATCCCTGGGATTCACATCATTACCATATTTGTAATTCCTGGCTTATGAACAGCATTTGATGCAGAATTTTTATATTTGTTTGCAAGCTATTTCCATACTAAATTTCACATGTTATGCTCCTGTGGTTCAGTAGTTATTGACATCAAAGTGAAGGTAAAGTGTAGATTTTGTGCAGCTGCCATGTTTTTGCTTTAAAGTCTGCAAAAGAATACCATAAGTAATGTTTCTTTGTATATATAATATGTCATTTCAGGGCTCTCCCTTTGGTGGTGCTGGTACATCTACCTCTCATGTTTTGTTTACCCCGCTCCCATACTGTTACAACCTAACTAACTGGATGGCTTACTAAACCTGAAGGTTCGTCACCTAATTAACCAAAGCCCTCCACCGGACCCTGTTGTGAGCCAACAAAATCCAGTTTCCTTCAACTCCTATCTCCCATAGATCCCACCTGAGATTATTCTCCCATCTACGTCTAGGTCTCCCCAGCGGTCTCTTCCCCTCAGGCTTCCCAACCAATACCCGGTGCACGCCTCGTCTCCATGCGTGCTACATGCCCCGCCCATCTCATTCTTGACTTAATCACCCTGACAATACTGGGGGAGCAGTACAGATTTCTAAGCTCATCATTATGCAGTTACAACCTGTTGTAGAAAATTTAAAAAGTATGTGATTCAGGTGGCCTCCAGTAGTGCAACTATCATACCAAAGATCATATGTTTCAAAAGATAAATGAAGTGAGGCGTACAACATGGTGATCTTGTAAATATGCCTTCCTTTATTCAAGCATGGACAGTAGGCTAGAAAGTAAAAGTGGTTGGAAATCAAAATTTTTAATTAATCTACATTATTTATTCTGCAGACGGTTCAGAAATTACATTCATTGTGATATTAAAGAGCAGGCTAAGTTCTGTTTTGTATTAGGCTGTAATTCAGGAGTTTCATAGATTGAGAGTTTTTGTGAACAAGGATGCTGAGGAGATTACTTTGAAAGTTTGAGAAAGAGAGTGAGTACCAAGAGGTTCAAGAACATTGCTCAAGGAACTTAATAATTAGGGTGTACACATTAAGGAGGGTGGAATGATTGGATCATGCAATGTGGCAGAGATGATAAGTATGTAAAATTTTGTTGGAAAACCAGAAGTGATGTTTTGGAAGGATTTTATTAAAAATGGATGAAATAGGGTGTGTGGTAATATCGTGGATTTATATGGTCAAGACAAGGTCCAGTTGCAGATTCCTATGATCAACAGAATTAACCTTTGAGTTCCATGAAAGGTGTGCAATTTCTTAAATAGCTAGCTGAACAGGTACAAGTATTAGCTTCTCAAGATGGATTCTGTTTCATGGAATTACTATTATTGGCTAATTACTCTGTTATTCTAAAAGGATCCCTTAACTCTACAGTAAAATTCAGAAGTTTGTTATAATACCAGTAAATGTTAGTTTTGCAGTAATACTGTTGCTATTGTATGACATTATAAACATTGCATTACTGTTGAAAGTGTCTTAAGAGACTGTCAGTAATTTATTCTGTACATTTAATAATTATGTTCTGAACATATCAATCAATAAAGATGTTCCTAACAGTCTTCATGAAGAAGTTAACATTTTACCAAATGTAGACTAAGCTTATGAAATGAAAGAGAATGCTAGAAAATAATGGTTTAAAGAAATTCTTTCCTTTTCAATATACTTTATAGAGTATCTGATTACATGTAAGAACAGAATTATTCTAAGGTAAATGGAATACTTCCTAACTAACAACCAGCAACCCACGAAATTACGCTTGTCTCAGTATTTCATTTCAAATTACAATTTCAGTAGTATACAATTTCTTGCGTATGTGTATTTCTAGTTGGGAACTCACATTCGTGCCAAGAGGAAACGTGAAGAGCTTAGCAACATCCTCACCCAGATGAGAAAGGCACAAGCCCAGGCAAAATAACTTTCCTAATGTAAATGTGTGTTCCATATAATAAACTGTGAAACAAATTATTCGTTGTTTTAATTGTAATTTGGGATGTCACATGCTTTGTTGTGCAGCTGCTAATTACTGTATATACTTGATACTTTGACGACCCGTTCAAGTGCCTGAGCACTGCGGGTCCCAACTTTTCGTTGACTTTCATCTGTAGACATTTTGGTAGGACTCTTTGGACAAGGGATCAGCCCATCACAAGACCTCTACCTGTACACAGGACAGCACAACGCAGAAAAACGTGGCCAAATATCCATGGCTTGAGTGGGATTCGAACCCATGATCCCAGTGACAAAGCGGCACAAGGCCTATGCCTCAGACTGTGCAGCCACTGAGATGGCTAATTACTGTATATACTGATGGAAATGGCCTATTGAATTTTAACACATGATTCATGTGTTTATCCCTTAAACCCATTTCATTTATCTCCTTTCTCCCATATTCCTCATGTACTAGTCCTTTCAACCTAGAAATATGTCAGCTGTGATACACAACACATTTTGATTTTGCCTCCTATGTTAGTAGTCATTCTAAATGCTGCATATTGGTAGCAGCACTTAATAAGATGGAAAATTGTGCCATACTTGTATTATATAAAACCTAGTTTGATATCTGCTTTGATGCATATCTAATTGCCTTATAGCTGTCTGTAATTGAATTACATGGCACAGTGTTATATTTTAATTACAGACATGCATCAAAGCTGACATCAAACCGGGTTTTATATAATACAAGTATTTACAAACATGACAAATGTGAAACTGAGATTAGACGCAGCAGATTTAATACTGTAAAAATTTGTAGACCTACTTCACATGATCTAAAATGGAGTCCCATAATATAGTGGTTTAAGTCTCTATTCAGATATGATAAACGATAAAAGTTGGACTGATGATAATATACAGGGGCAGGCTTCTGTGATGAAACTCCAAGACCTTCAGGTTTCTGAATATGTATAAGAAAATGCATAAGCTCAAGAATCTTGATAGCCAGATCTGGTATGCCATTGACACTACAGGTAGCCCGCGATTTACGCTGGGGATGCATTCCTGGATGAACCGGCATAAATTGAAACTCTTTATAATGTAAAGGAATGGGAAGTCAATGACCTGCGGTCCCAGCAACCAAACATTGACAAGTAATATATAATGGCATTACATTTAAAGCTCTGGAATAACATAAATCTATATCCACTATTGGATTCTTGGAACTTGTAAATAAATAAATAAAATAAAGGGAATTTAAAAAATATACTTTATACATTTTCAATCGGCAATTCGTTGGTCCCCGCGGTTGACTGTGATTCTTTCATGTGATTGATGTGTACAGTCATCTCTGCTGTTATGCGATAGTTGCATTCATGTAAGACGCCAACCTATAGAAAATCGCGTAGTAAAAATAACCCCGGTACCTCCGCAGAGATTAAATTAGTCCTTTGAAAGTTTAAAGCGCCAGGAATGAAACTGCATAAGAGCAAACTTGCATATGCAAAAGTTTGTATTTCACAAACAGCTTTTACCGATTCATCGATCTCATTGGACCAAATTCGTGTTAATGAAACATACGTAATTGCAGAGATGACAGTATTTATAATTTTTATTAAAAATCAGCGATGTAAGAATTACGATGTATTATAATAATCAGTACAAAATACATTTAAAATGTTATAAATAATAGTAAAAAATATTTTTTTCACTTTTTGGCTTGCTGGTTTCAAAATCAGCGTTATTCTGAATCGGCGCAAATCGAGGGCTACCTGTCATTACACACCAAATTCATGTGCACTGAATATTTAAACTTTACTCTTGTATTGCATTATACACCCCTCTTATATTATCCTGTAAGTCTGTCTCCAAGGTCCTGCCATGTAACTACTCGGATTTGTCCATTGACAATTCCAAGTGCAATCACCACATCATTAGGTTTCAGCTGTTCCAGTCCATCAAGCCAACCTGTTTCTCCCACCACTACCTGTGCCAAATCTGGTGTTGTCGAACTGGAAGCAAAGAATTCTATCTGGTTTTAACTGTAATTAAAAGACATTTAATATAAAAGATAAAAATTAAATTTGACACCAATATGTGTACATATAATCTACATAAATAATGATACACTTTTCTAATTAATGTATTATTGTGACTATCTTAAAAGTACTTTCAAACTGCTACGGCTATGAACATATTTACTTTCAGACATTATGACAATTATCATCATATAATTTGAATCGTATAACTTGGAAACCTCCATGAAGAGCAAAATGTGTGAATTTTGTTATGTGGAATGTTTTGTGTATGTTGCAGGACTAATCTGTTAGTAGAATTTGAAGATTTAAAACAGTTGACATTTATTACCCATAAAATGTGTTATATTCCACTTGGACTTGATTTTCCTTCCATTATGGTGGGATTTAATGCATAGTTATTTAAAGTAATTGTACTTTTGTAAGCCTGTATGGCAAGCATATAGTATTAATTTTATTCTCTCAAAAAGATTATCCATAATTCCCCCAGAACATGTTGCTGGCAAATTACTTCTAAAAGTACCTGGAATGTGGAAGATGACATCCTCCAATCTCATTTCCACTTGACACTTCTATTACCAATAGGTTGCATTTATTTGCATGACTATGAGGCATCAGAACGAGTGCAAATTTCTCTCCTACAGCCAACAGTTTCCTTACTTTTTGTTTCAAGTACATCTCACATACTCGTGTCCTTGTAGCCAAACTCTCAAGCACAATTTCAGCGTTCCCATCTTCTTCATCCTTCACCATTGACTGTTTAACATATGATACTTTTCCATTTTGCACACAGCAACCAGGAGTGTAAAAATTATACACTGGGTTCAATGGAATTTCTATAATAGACTTTTCAACCTCATCCATATCTCCGAACATATTACCATCTTTAGATTCTTTTGGCCATGAGAATATTCTAATGTGGTCTCTAGTTTTTGTAAGAAGTGAATGCTTCCCTTTGTATAAAGTTCTGCTGTTAATGCAATGTAATGCTGGCAACAAAGTCACCTGAATCACCCAATGGCTATGATATGAGAGAGTTTTTAGCAGACACCCAGTGCTAAGACACCATACTTTTGCCATAAAATCTGTGGCACCACTCAATACGAGATCTATATCTGTACTTAGACTTAGAGACATGATGACACCAGTATGTCCATAATATTCCTGGCATAGGCTGGCTTGACATATATTTTTACAGATGTCCAAACTCCAAGCTGTAATATGGCCTGTACTATGGCCAAACACTAACATCTTTGCATCCTGCACCCTCAAGCAAGATATCCTTTTGGGTACTGAAAATAGTCCAATTAGCTCATAGTCATCTGTACGCCATATACCAACTTGATCAACGGCACCTATAAAAGACATGGAACAATGTTGCATTTTTGTGAGAAAATAGACATCTTATATTTCAACATGTACTACTTATAAAGGAGTGGTAGAAACCTTACTTGCAATAAGAAATCCCTTGCAATAATCCAAGCCTGTAACTTGTCCTAAACTTAAACAAGTTGCTCGAATATCTCGATGATGGAATGCTGACCCAGTCCTAAGTCCTTCAATCTGTTTGTGAGTGGCCAAGCACAGGGTCTTCCAATTTATATCTTTTTTCAAGAGGCCAATTCCCATTTGGTAACATTTTCTTCGCCATACTTCGCTAAGTGAAGATATTACCCTACAGTGTAACAAGTAAAGTTGCATGCATGAAATAAAATAAAAGTGGTGTATTTTAGTTATTAGTTCTCTCCAACTGAAATATACATTAAATAAAACTTTTAACTTTATACACACCCATTCCAATCTTTACTAACACAGCAAGCTGATACCAACGACTTTGTGTCAGTGTAATGGCAAATTTGCTCCAAAAGCTCAGTTGGCAGTGAAACAACAATGTCTTGGTACAGAATGCTTGCAACATGTTTTGAAACATTGTAACGCTGACTAGGAGAGGACTGCCGTAGAAAAGTGTGGAAGGTTGCTAGCTGTTCCTCAGGTGACAGACCTTTATATACTTCTGTCACTTCGTCGAGCCACTTCTGAAAATTCTCTTTTTTCTCTGAAAGCATGAAATACACAGTTATAAGGTTCAAGTAGGAAGGTTAGGTGAAACTGATATCTGTACATTTAATGCACACGCAATCGTTTGCACAACTGAATCATAAACTTTACAACCAGAAATTCGAATCCTAAATTCCCAAAACTAAAATTTAATATGGTCATATACGTTTGTTTACAACACTTGAACCATCCAAATTTTCCATCATTCAATCCTTCATCAGTAAGTTAAATCGTAATATCAGTTGGCATACAAGGAAAGTTGAAGGTATCCCTAAATGGAATCGCGACTTGCGCGTTAGAGGTATATCCTTTCGTATCCAATAGAGGAAGTTGCCAGTTTGCGTAGAGACACCTTCGTATCATTCACTAAACTACTACTACTATAAATGCTGCTAAAATTTGCAGTGTCAGCTGTTGTTAAGCCACGTGATCAACAGAAACTACAACAAAGTTCTAATAGGTTATTGTTGTTTGTTTTCATGGAAACGTGTTATTTATGTGTTGTTTAAGTGTGAAAGAAGCTGGTAGCTGTGTTCGTTAAAGTATCGGGAAAAATTATGAAAGATTTAGACATTAGTAAGTTGAATATTGATTGTTTACAATTATTTTTAATTTGCTTATGTACAACCAACTTCCAAAAACGTTTATTCGATTTTTCTAACGTAATTGTGTAATGGAAATAGATTAAGTCACAATTTCCATCAACTGCTACCATCTATGCACAAGTCGGAGATATGTTAAGAAACCGTTCCATTTCGGAATTTAGCTCCTTACTATAAAGTAAAAGAGATTTAGTTTTGCGTTGACACTACACATTAAGTAGAAATGTGTTTGAATGTTTGAAAATTATTAACGCTCTAGAAATATATGGTGTAGACAGTACGACATTCACTCCGTCATTAATATCTTTTATTCTGCCTCGATATATTAGAAACTATGGTATGATGTGTTGTTGCAGTTATCTGGTTGCTACAAGGCCCAGCACCTGTGATTATTGCATACAAGGACAAAAACCTCACCTGGCTGAAAGGCATTATCGAGCAAGTGTGCACTGCAGTCCAACCCAGCTGCTTGTACATGACTAAAGTAGCCTGGGTCCTACTCATTATTGTAGTCATGTTATTTATTTTCAAGGTAGGTACAAGGTTTCTCTGTCTGACTGAAGGCATTTGAAAACAAACTGCTGAGTATCATGTATAGACTGGCATGCAAGTAAAGAGAATTAAATAATGAGGAGCTTCACAATTTGTACTCACTGCCTAGTGTTGTTTGGTTGGTGTGATCAAGAGGACTTTAGTCTTAATGATAAAGCACAGAAATTATCCACAGGCCCTCCAGGAAAATTCCTTTCTTCCACATACTTCTCAATTCAGTATTCATATTCATCCTGTCATTTGATGCTATAGTCTGAGTTATTGAGAGAATCATTAAACCTATAAGTATGGTAAACCATTAATTTAACAGAATAATAGGGGGGATGAATGTCCGGTAATGCTGATTGTCCATTAAATTGCACAGTTTTTTTTATGATGCCAGTAATGCATTCTTAGACCAAAATTTCAATTAGGAGCACCTTTAAACAGATTAGTAATATGAATTGCATACCTACAATGATACAAGGTTCATTAAAAGAATACAATGTAAAGATGAAAATCCAACTGTCTTTAGCAGACTTTGTTCATTAAAACCAAAAATGTCTGCTAATTCGTTGTGCCCAAAAACAGTTTGGCAATACCAGATAAAAGTTTGTCCCCCTACGTGCCATACAGGCACTTGGGGTGAGTGGAGGTATAGCTCCTCTCTTTCTTGACCTCGGCACTAGGTGGGGGTGAGTGGTCAGTATCATACCCCGGCCGGCTTTACCCCCGGGAAAGGACCCCCAGTACCCATTGTAGAGGAGGCTGGGTGGGCCCCAGATCCAGTCTGGACGCAGAGGCTAGAGGAAAAATCCTCTGTCCCCGTC